CACCAACCAATGCTAATATTAATGTTGTAGTTAATCAAACTATCGATAGCTATTGGGGACATGGGATAAATCAAAGACAATTACTACCACGATAAAATTAATTGAATTCCTATTCAAACATTTGTGATTAAACTGCAATAATGTCTGCTGCTAAATGAGCTGGGTGATTTCTTGCATTACTCTGTATCGTGATTAATTTGCCTTTGTCATAAAATAATAAAGTAATGGTCTTTTGTTTGAAGTTAATTGTTATGGTGAGCTAATTGTGTTAATGTTATTTTTTATTAAATTAATTCAAACTATACAGAAACCATAACTTAATGTTGTTTAAAGGTTTATTGCGGACATATTACATCACAATGGTAAAATACAATCCACATCCTTTCCAACTTCCAACTTAGGTTTTGTTTTGTGGATTGTTCGTTGTAATAAGCTGCTGGATTATATTTCACCTGAGGATGGGATCAAATTTTAAATCCCGAAACATTGTGTATTGTAATTCAAAAAATTGTGATGGAAAATGTCCACAATCAACTACGAAATTAAGAAATAACGTCTATATAGTTTGAATTAATTTGGGATAGGATTACTTTTAGTAAATATGGGTCAAGCTTGGATTGCATTTTGGCTAGTGAATTATTCAAAAGGGTCCATTAAAGGAAGGGGTCCATTGGAAGGGGGGTCAAAGGGGGGGGTAACTGTTTTAGTATTAAATATACAATGAAATAGGTAGTTTGAAAATGTCAATTTGCTGATGGGCCACACACATTTACATTGACGCTTAGGATTACCGTAAAAAATACACCAATAATATATAAACTAAGTTTTAATTTCAATACAAATTAAAATGAGTATATGCCTACAACTAGCATTTCTGGTATTTCTGTACAGGGGTGATAATCTTAGTTTTTGCTAATGCACCCAGTTTAGATTTTATTTAGAATGGGGTGTATTATTCTATGTCACACTTTTCATTCCCTATTTATCAATTAATTTGTTGATCAGTTGATCAATTGATACGTACTACCCACGGTTCCATTTAAACTCCTGGGTAGACAAATAAACGCATTCGTCTGCATATCTTTTTTTAACATCAACAATTATTACACAAATAAAACTTGAAGTAAAACGTAGGACAAATCGTAATGCGTGCAATAAGTTTCAAAACGTAATTAAAGATAGTTTTAGAGTGCCATCACCACGTTTTTGACGGAAGGCTGTCGTTCGTTTATATTTATCAATTTTAGCAAATCAAAATATTCTTCTAAAAAGTATTGACCAATAAACCCTTTCCAGTATGAGGAAATTTGAGTTTAAACAATACATTCGCTACTACCGGGTAGCGGAAATGTTGATTAAATTCTTTCGAGAAACACCGACGTGGTAGAGGAGGTATTCGAGGAATGAAAGATGCGCCTCTGCAGTCTGCAATGCTTGTGGATTCCATGAATACTTGCACTTAATAAAAGTTCCTTTGGGATAATAAACGTTGTGTCGTTGTGTGCTACAAGAGGAAACGTATGTGGATTTATGGTGTATGAGATACGTAAAGTTTAGTTTAAATGAAACACTATTCTTAACTGGAAGTAGTTTTATATGCCCATTGCAACGGGAAAGAAGCAACAAATTATAAAAAATTCTACATTGGTCAGACTGGAAGAACATTTTCATGCAGATTCAAAGAACATATCCAAGCCGTAAAATCAAACAATAAAACATCCCAACGCTCAATGTATGCAGAACACAGATTAGAAAATAATCACAATTATGGCAAATTAGAAGAATGTGTCAGAATTCTAAATTATGAAAAAAGGGTGAAAAAATGGATATAAAAGAAGAGCTACAAATATACCTACACTCAAAAGAATACGGCGACCAAATTCTCAATGTAATGCAAAAACAAAAGCAAAATCCAATACATGAAAAAATCAGACAAATCAGGGAAGAATCTTGCACATTTACATGTAAAAAAAAAATACACCTAACCATTTAATCAAAATTTAATATGAATTCAAAACATATGTTATCAACTATTTATTTATTTTATTTGTTTACATACTTTTATATAGCTCATACTGTGATCATGGCATTAGTGCCGAAATACGTATCAGTTTAAATAAAAATGAATTTCAGGGTACTCTGGTTTTTATTATTTCACTTGACAATTCTATATAAATAAACATTTATTTTTCAAATTATTGCAGAGTTTAAAGTTTTATTCATTGTTAAAAATAATTTCTCATCGTTAATTATATGTATTGCAGTACATAGTTTTAATATTTTTAGGAAGTACATGGCCTCTTTTGATCTTACATTTGCAAAAAGTCACACAAGTAATATTCTGTGTAGTTTTTAATTACAACAAATTATAAGTTTGTCAATAATGGTTTAACATTGTAATCATCTTCTGTTTTTGTTAAACCGACCACTAAAATATTTCTAGCATAATCCTATAATCCTATAGGATAGTTCTTGCATAGTGATGGGGGAGTCTTGAGGGAAGTTAAATCCTAAGGGATGTAAGACTCAGAATAACATAGTCAGCTTAAACACACAATAGAACTACCCTAACATTCTCGGAATTCTACGGGGGTTTTGTAAAGATCAACAGAAATAAACATATTAATTTCACTGCATATTTCAATCAAATCACTAAGGTACTTTACACTACAGACACTTTAAAGGATCTTTAAAGTAGTATATTTCTCTACTTATCTTGAAAGTGGAACATTTTGGGGCAAGATGTTGTTTTACGACCAAGTGCGGAAACTATTAGGCCTCAAAATTAAACTTTGGGACGAGTAGTGAACGAAACGTTTCATTGACATGAGAATTATCACACAAAGGTTCTTATTTTTTAATAAACCAATAAACACTTTTTCACAGTTCAGGGATTCTTTTTCAAATTTTTTTATTATTGTTTTACAATAGATACAAAAGTCAGCTGTCAGATTCATTCATTTGTTTTGGAATAAAACCATGTGTTTGGGACAATCAATTATCTGTTTGGGTCAGGAAAACTAATGTTTTGGTAGAATGTAAAATGACGATTTTTAACCCAGCTGTATGTATATAGCCATTTTCGTGTACAAAGGGATTTAAAAAGTATTCTTAGCAAATGTTTTCATAGCGATGTGTGCAGTTAAGACGTTGTTTTTAGGATTGAGAACTAATTAATTAATTTAGGTCAACTAACATTAGAACAGCCAGTTTTTCTTGATTTAGTCTTTTTATCTGTAGGCCTACTTATTATTTTATTCATGGACATTAATGTGAATACGAGGACCATGAAAGTTATTTATCCAATAAACAAATTACACAATAACCAATGACCAAGCATTATATTTTTTGATACTTGTTATTATCGTTCATAGTGGATAAACCATGGAATTTCAGGTAACATTTAGGGTTTTTTACGCTGTAACATTTGATAATACAGTAGACCAACATAACCATATCAAAAAAGCTACTAAAAACTATACGTTACTTAGTTTTAGTTGTTTTGTTTATAAAGTTTAAAGTATGGAATGTATAAACATACCTGTAATCACTATCAGCTAAAAAAGCTAAAAATAATTTTGTGTTATTCTGTTTGTCAAGTTTAACCTGTTTTAATTATGTATAACTGTTTATAGAAACTAGCCTTTTATGATTTTTATATTCTGGATTCACAAACGTACATTTATTGATATCTTCTATCATAGTCTTAGACAGACTAACAGAATAACGGATATCGTCTGGTTATCGTAATAATACTGTATAACTGTTTATAGAAACTAGCCTTTTATGATTTTTATATTCTGGATTCACAAACGTACATTTATTGATATCTTCTTTCATAGTCTTAGACAGACTAACAGAATAACGGATATCGTCTGGTTATCTCAATAATACTAAATTGTTATTTTTATTCAATGAATACAAAGTTTATCATATAATAATTATCCTATAGTCTTACTTGATAATATTCTAATTATGTCTTTACATTTCCATAAATAAACTAAAATTCACGCTCTGTGATTTAACATTGTAAAATTTGTGATTTTATTTATTCCTTAAAAAACATTAAATCAAAATTAACAACACTGGATCTCAATGAGCATTATAATATAGAGAATTATATAAATAAGCTGTTCAGCTTAGAACGTAATGATGCAATATGTTATATGATATAGAGTGAACTGAAAAATGGGAGGTCGAAGTTTGCGAAGGAAAATGGGAGGTTAACGGCGGAAATATGAAAAGACCTGAGCTCTGAATAATGTCTAGACTCCATAATGTATGAAGTCAGACTCTAGATACTGCATGTGGGTGGCATTTAAATAGGCTATTTATCATTGCTTTAGATAAAAAATAATATCTACTTTACTTTTTGATTCAGACCTTGATCGACCAGTAAACAATCAAACAGTGCTCAAAGTAATTTGAATGTGGATCGTTAAGAAAATACTAATAGAAAAATAAATTACAAAATGGAATATTTTATAATTTGTGATTGGTTATGGATAGCGCTCCCAATTTTTTACATCGTACAAAGTTGTTTTAAAAGAAAAAATTTCAATTTAATCTTTACTCATGTTTCCAAAATGGAATCTTAAATTCCATAACTAAGGTTGTGATATAAGATCTTGAAAATATCAAATATCTTACAATTCAGTTAGTTTGGGTGACGTGTGGGTCGTAAATTTTTACCAAGTGAGTATTTCTTTTCCTTTTAAAAATATCTTTTAATCAAATCATCTCTGGGACCTTAATTAGTTTTGATATTATTTTAATTTGATGAAAAGTTACAATAGTATTTGCACATTTTAGCAAGAAATAATTTACTGATGAAGCAACACAATTTTTGTCAAAGGAGACAAGAAGCTTTTAGTCAAAGTGATGATGAATTAAACGTTTAGCGTTGATGCTTTAGCAAAACAGGACTTTAAGCTAAACAAATCTTAACGAAAATTAAAATAAAAGTGTTTTGAATTATAATAAATCCAAAGTGAACTTACGATTATCCTCGTGACTTGGCGTCGGCACGGGGGGAGGGGGAGACCAGACACTGTCCCTAGCAGGAGTCTGGTACTTATTGCAGGCTTTCTTCACCATGTAGCAACGAGGCATCCTTCCCGGTTAGTGGCACGTAAAAACAAAAACTTTAATGCGAACGAAACATTTGTATACTTTCGGCACTGTATTGCTTCGTTGCACTTGTAAATTCAATAGATCATTGCGAAGAAGCGAGAAGAACGAAGAGATTTCAGTATCGATTAGTCAACAGGTGTTGCGGTAGGGTTTGTAAAATTCATAGTGAGCAACGACCGGTGGAGGTAGACATGGTCAAAACGGAACAACCTGTAGAGGCGAAGCACTTCGAACACTTGAAGATCGGCTGGGAAGGTCGTTTGAGGAGACACTTGATTCACTAAAACTTTGTTGCGGCGAGTTTCGGGTCGAAGCGCGAGATACGGAAAGGGTCGAACTAACACTGAAGAAACACTCACGGAAACGAAGAGTAGAGGTAGAATAGAATAGAAGCAGACAGGAAGGGGCCAAGTCGGCACTAGGGTTGCCCACTGCAACTTGTCGAAACTTGTTGATCGGCGGCGCACAGACTGACGCACCACTCCCTCTGGTGTACGCCAGGACGCATGCGCCACCCCCTGCTATCGACCCGTGCACGTCGACACCTGTTACAGCCCCCACCCCCACCCCCACCCCGTCTATTGATTGCCGCCCCCAACCTTGGCGTGCACTACAAGTGGCTTTTTATATTTTTACTGTTTTGCCATGTCGAAATTAGACACCCCGTCCCGATCTTCCGTTTGTTGAAACGCGTTGAACGGTTTTCCGATGCTACCTGGTCGCTACCCAGCACACGTCCCGTTGCGGCTGCGGTAGTGTTGCATAAGTCAAACCGACCCCCTTTATTGGACCCTGTACTGCTCTTTGTCGACGGTTATTGCTCTGGTGGTGATTTTATAAACGCGGACACAGCACCTTTTGTTTTATCCAGTCAAATGATTGTGGTATAATATTGATAAAGGGTTTGGTTGTTTTAGGTTTTTTTGTCAAATGAAGACAAATAATGTTTCCTTGATATATTTACAAGAATGCCAAATTTGTTAGTTGAAAAATTAGTGTCCAGCTAAGGGGTATATTTAAATACGTACCTCACAAATTAAAGAGTTTGATCAACTAAATCTTAAAAGTCCATAGCATCTCTCAACACTATTGATAATATTTTGACAAACCTAAACATAAATACTGGTGGTACGAAGTGTAACGACATACATTTTTAAGTAAATACAAAATCGCAAGAAGTAGAGGAAGGAAGAAGGCTGTATTTCACGTCACAATCAGGGCCGCTTCGGACGCTTCTGTATTTTATCGCTGTTTTTATTGGAAGGCGCCGTCTTTTGGGAAGTCTCAATTGTATTTTAAGGCTTTGTCTTGCTTTGAACCGCAGTTCCCTAAATGAATATTTAAAACTTTTCAAAACTCCATTATATGCTTTACCTCAAATAAAAATGTTAATAGAGATCAATTATTCATCACTTGTCACGCCTTCTTTGATATATTTAGGTATTTGTATTAGAAATCTCAGGGAAACAGACTTCAAGTATCTATAAGCTAATAAGGAACACGATCTTTGGTATAACCCCTAAGTCGCACACAGGTCCACACACATACTTCACTGAAAGGTATTAGTGAGAAACTTCCTCGAAAACTATTAGTTTTTCCATGAAAAATCTCCTAAAGGCACAGACCTAAATTATAGAGTCGTTTAAAATTTTAATTTTAATATTTAATATGTGTCAGTTGTTACAACTGTTTTTACTAATCATATTTTGTTTATTTTTTTGAGTTGAACTTTTGATTCATATCATATATTTTCTATGTTTAAATTACAATCAAGTTATTAGCTTTTATTTCGCCACACAGATTGCAAATACATAGTTTTATTTAGATCGTGAAGTTTATTTTTACCGTTGTCAAGATTCACGATAAAGTATGAGAGTCGTAACCCTATGAAAAGGTACATTAACAAGATATTTCTACCTAACGAGTCTAACAGGGGCTCAAAGAAGCCCTTTTGACATCGGTAAAAAACAACAAGTTCCTGCACTGTCATGCATTTGTTCGGTTACGCAAGCTTTAACAAGCTTTGACACCCACTCCTATGACGTCATCGCGACACCTGCTGATGAGGCGAGTGAAACGAACAGGTAGGTTCTCTTCAATGAAAGTAACAGGTATTGTTGCGTCAGAATGGTTAAGTAACAGGTCGGCTCCCTGTTTTGGAAATAACGGACAAGGTTGCAGCCAGTGATTTTAATAAATCGCAATTAAAGTTTTAGTTGCATAGTACTAAAATGATTAAATTGGTGTTATATAGTGCTTTCTTGGTGATACCGTATCCAATTAAACGTATCGTATTTAGGAAGCAAGTAGGTCTTGTGGTAGAGCATAAACTTCGGTTCCTGAGTTAAACTGTTCAAATACCGTCAACCACCAATATCTATATTGAAAATGTATTTCTTGGTGATGTCCATTAAATAAATATCCGATAAATGTCCAATATTATCCTATTTCGGGAGCAAGTAGGTCTAGTGATAGAGCAAGAACATCGGTCCCCGAGGTTCAGAGTTAAAATCCCGCCAATCACCAATATATTTTATCAATGCGATTAGCCATGAACCACTAGGACTAGCCCGAAGTAAAAAACTGCTTCTGGCAACAATCTACCGCCCTAGGATCTACGCCTTAGGAAAAACAGGAATAAAAATCCAACTAAATGAAAACAAAAATTAATTACAATCTGCATTATGCTACAAAATATGAATCTATGCATCAGTGTTTCCATTACGGGGTGGAGCCTCTGTAAAGAGAAATAAATGGTTCATAGTCGATAGGTTTAGCCATACGTTGAAATTATAGGTAAAAAGCAGCACATGCAGTATTATCTGGTTCATTGAAGAAAACTGGTTCATCAAATTGGTGAAGGAAAAGTAAATTGTATGTATAGTTATAAAGTAAAAAGAACTCTTAATTATAAATCAGATTAAATGGAAGGACTAGATTTTGCAAGTCAATAGCTTATCGACTGATGAAATTACTGGTTGGTGTAAAAAATATCAGTATTCATTATTTTAATGTGAGCTTTTTATGGTAAACAAATTAAGATAATAGTGTACAGCATTTTTGATTCTATAGTTGGAGTGTAAAGTTACATGTTGTTTACGTTATAGCTACATTGTTAGTTTATGTTGTTTATGCTGTGTGTTTAGTTTATGTTGTAATATATGCATGTAAACGTCACTTAGTTCAAACATAAATTGATAAATAAAAGCAAAAAAAATATTTTTCCTTCTAAGAAGTTGACATTTGAAAGTTAAGAAGATGAGTATGTATGTTATATTAAAGTAGAGCTACCATTGGAATTATGTGTTTGATTAAACAACATTTTTAATATCAAAAAAATTTCCATCAAGTTTAGTTACAAAATCACATTAGAAAAGAGAACATGGAGTTTTTTACAGCCTTGAAGTAAAAGAGAGCCACTTCTGCTGTTCCCCACAGTTCAATTACTTATTTTGTGTTTGTTTACGTTTAAGAGAGAAAGTTTTCACGGTAAAACCAAGCCAAATTCCTGTTCGTGATGAAACCACTTACTGCCAAAGTTTTCTCCACTCCCCTTTCGGTAAACTCTTACGGTTATTAAACTAAAACCATAAAAAACTGTAGAAACTAGGTATTACAGCTTTTAACATATTCTTTCATAAATATAATATAACTAACGCTAATATTTTAAAATGTCCAAAAATTATCTTATAATAAACAAAATTACTAACAGTATTACATTTCTGTCCAATTATCAAGTTTTAGAGTTCTTGCGAAACATTTACACTGATTTATGGGCTGTTAGAAAACCGTATTCGTTAAAATATTCACCTTCTACAGCTTAATTCAAGACAAAAACAAGTGAAAAGATGTTATGTCGTGGCGGTAGAATCCTAAAATATTTAGCATGTACCTTTAAGCATTATGGTTGGATACATGAATGCTGTATCACTAAAGATGCATTTTAAAATATGTTTGTATGCAAGGCAAAGTTTTATTTCAGTATATTTTATGGTACTAGAATATTTAACTTAAATTACGTTAAGTATGCTACTTTTCCTAATCCCTAACATCTTTAGATTCGCATATTAGTGTCAGAGTTTTGAACTAGTTATAATGAGTGATGCTTTAAAATCCGCTTTGTTTTATAACAATCAATTAATTGTCCTAATATGTTATCCACATTAATTCATTTGGAGTAAGAGTATATTTATAAACGATAAATATACGATAATGTCAAGAACCCTGATCAACACATTTGAAAAGGACAAAACATTTTTAATCGAAGCTATTGAATGGAATATGACAATGCGAGGAAAACCAGTATAATGTCTGATCATTGAATTTTATTGTTGAACAGGAGATTCCAATATAACGGCATGATGCTTATAATGGTTAGTTATGTTGAATATACATTAGGGAGTTATGTGAGTTAATCAAACCAATAAAAAATAATATTAATGATTAAGTTTAATCTGAATACCATTATAAGCTACTTAAAATTATAAAGATAAATTGAACTCTAACCTCAATATGAAATTCATTTTTCCATGCCTTTCATTTCACGTATTATATATTATATATAATAGATTCAAGTAGAATTTCATGGAATTCCGTATTGACATTTAAATTACCTATGTCACCTCCGAAAGTAGGACCGAGTGCCATTGCCTAAAAACTTTGATGAAGGTAATTTTACAGCCTGAGGCTTGGCGGTGCGAGTGCCAGCCAGGTTTCAGTGAACGGTTCCACGGTGCGGCGGGTATGGGGTGGAAGATCGACTAGGGGAGCAGGATATGTAAAACTTGTTTACTACTACTAAACCAAGAACATACTATAAAAAAGAAACTAAAAAAAGACAAAAAGAAGGTATAAAAGAAAGAAGAAGGTATAAAAAAGAAGGTTAAGAAACTACTATAACCTAACCTAACCTAATCAAACTTGCTAATAATGAAAAATAGAATGAAGTTTTACTATTTGAATCGATATTTTCAATCGATATTAGGGTTGACAAGTTAAGAAACTGTACCCGGTCTCTGTTATATCCTGTCCTGCCCACAGCACCCATTACACTAATATCCCTCCCCTGAATCATTCTTACTCTCTGGGAGTTAAACGGAACTCGGGCCTACCTGACGGTTTTGACTGTCTATGACCCGGAGTTTAAAGAATATAACGGCACTCGCTCCGCTTCCCGTAACCTCCGATTAACGTGAAAGCGTTACAGCCATAACTTAACAAAATAAAATTGCATACAATTAGATTGTTATATACACCTTAAACTAGATTAACACTGAGTTTAATTGTATGGGTAACCAAGTGGTTATAGTGCTCGCTTTCAAACCAGAATGTCACTGGTTCGAATCCAAGCTAGGTCGTTTCCAGATCCAGATGATTGTTTTGGGTTATAATTAATGATCCTATCCAATAAATGGTGTTAAATAGTAAGAAGACCAGAGAATAGACTGTTTCCTTACAATATTAACATAT